TTCGTTAGTTCGCGGGCCGCCAAGTAGGTGCTGGCGGCCACATGCGGCCCGCATGTTGTGCAGGCCTGCGCCATAGGACTGTGATCTAGTGTAAGATATCCACTTATCAGTGTAATGTAACAGTTTCCTTTCTTATACTTATGCCTCCGAGATGGGTCTCCAAAAAAAAACTCTAATCTGATTAGCTCCAACATTTGAGGAGACCCGGTGATGCATGACATAGTCAGAGGCGGATTCGAGGGTATTTAGGGGGGTGGGGGAAGTGGCTTAATGTCACATTATAAAAGATAAGAAAGTCGTAATTTCTTCATGACTTTGTGTCATAGATCAGGGGTCGCAACCTTTTAGTTTCAGCGAACCAAAGAAGACATCAAATTCATTCAGTATGCCAAAATAAGACTTCAAATTCATTCAAGTCAAAGTAAGACTTCTATTTAATTCAGAATGTCAATGTCAGACTTCTAATTCATTCGTTGTGCCAAAGTAAGACATCTGCTTTATGCAGCATGCCAAAGTAAGACTTCTAATTCTTTCAGTGTGCCAAAGTAAGACTTCTAGTTCATTCAGTGTGCCAAAGTAAGACTTCTCATTCATTCAGTGTGCCAAAGTAAGACTTCTAATTCATTCATTGTGTCAAAGTAAGACTTCTAATTCATTCATTGTGCCAAAGTAAGACTTCTAATTCATTCAGTGTCAAAGTAAAACTTATAATTTATTTAGTGTGCCCAAGTAAGACTTCTAGTTCATTCACTTGGCAAAGTAAGACTTCTAGTTCATTCAGTGTGCCCAAGTCAGACTTCTAGTTCATTCAGTGTGCCAAAGTAAGACTTCTAGTTCATTCAGTGTGCCAAAGTAAGACTTCTAGTTCATTCAGTGTGCCAAAGTAAGACTTCTAGTTCATTCAGTGTGCCAAAGTAAGACTTTTAGTTCATTCAGTGTGCCAAAGTAAGACTTCTAGTTCATTCAGTGTGCCAAAGTAAGACTTATAAATCATTCCGTGTGACAAAGTAAGACTTCTAATTCATTCATTGTGCCAAAGTAAGACTTCTAATTCATTCAGTGTGTCAAAGTAAACTTCTAATTTATTCAGTGTGTCAAAGTAAGACTTCTAATTCATTCAGTGTGCCAAAGTAAGACTTCTAGTTCATTCAGTGTGCCAAAGTAAGACTTCTAGTTCATTCAGTGTGCCCAAGTAAGACTTCTAGTTCATTCACTTGGCAAAGTAAGACTTCTAGTTCATTCAGTGTGCCCAAGTCAGACTTCTAGTTCATTCAGTGTGCCAAAGTAAGACTTCTAGTTCATTCAGTGTGCCAAAGTAAGACTTCTAGTTCATTCAGTGTGCCAAAGTAAGACTTCTAGTTCATTCAGTGTGCCAAAGTAAGACTTATAAATCATTCCGTGTGACAAAGTAAGACTTCTAATTCATTCATTGTGCCAAAGTAAGACTTCTAATTCATTCAGTGTGTCAAAGTAAACTTCTAATTTATTCAGTGTGTCAAAGTAAGACTTCTAATTCATTCAGTGTGCCAAAGTAAGACTTCTAGTTCATTCAGTGTGTCAAAGTAAGACTTCTAATTCATTCATTGTACTAAAGTAAGACTTATAATTGATTCAATGTGCTAAAGTAAGACTTCAAATTCGTTCATTGTGCTATAATAAGACTTCTAATTCATTCAGTGTGCCAAAGTAAGACTTCTAATTCATTCAGTGTGTCAAAGTAAAACTTCTAATTCATTCATTGTGCCAAAGTAAGACTTCTAATTCATTCATTGTGTCAAAGTAAGACTTCTAATTCATTCATTGTGTCAAAGTAAGACTTCTAATTCATTCATTGTGCCAAAGTAAGACTTCTAATTCATTCAGTGTGTCAAAGTAAAACTTCTAATTCATTCATTGTGCCAAAGTAAGACTTCTAATTCATTCAGTGTGCCAAAGTAAGACTTCTAATCATTCAGTGTTTCAAAGTAGGACTTCTAATTCATTCATTGTGCCAAAGTAAGACTTCTAATTCATTCATTGTGTCAAAGTAAGACTTCTAATTCATTCATTGTGTCAAAGTAAGACTTCTAATTCATTCATTGTGCCAAAGTAAGACTTCTAATTCATTCAGTGTGTCAAAGTAAAACTTCTAATTCATTCATTGTGCCAAAGTAAGACTTCTAATTCATTCAGTGTGCCAAAGTAAGACTTCTAATCATTCAGTGTTTCAAAGTAGGACTTCTAATTCATTCATTGTGCCAAAGTAAGACTTCTAATTCATTCATTGTGTCAAAGTAAGACTTCTAATTCATTCATTGTGTCAAAGTAAGACTTCTAATTCATTCATTGTGCCAAAGTAAGACTTCTAATTCATTCAGTGTGTCAAAGTAAAACTTCTAATTCATTCATTGTGCCAAAGTAAGACTTCTAATTCATTCATTGTGTCAAAGTAAGACTTCTAATTCATTCATTGTGTCAAAGTAAAACTTCAAATTCGTTCATTGTGCTATAATAAGACTTCTAATTCATTCAGTGTGCCAAAGTAAGACTTCTAATTCATTCATTGTGCCAAAGTAAGACTTCTAATTCATTCATTGTGCCAAAGTAAGACTTCTAATTCATTCATTGTGTCAAAGTAAGACTTCTAATTCATTCATTGTGCCAAAGTAAGACTTCTAATTCATTCAGTGTCAAAGTAAAACTTATAATTTATTCAGTGTGTCAAAGTAAGACTTCTAATTCATTCATTGTACTAAAGTAAGACTTATAATTGATTCAGTGTGCTAAAGTAAGACTTCTAATTCATGCAACATGGAAATGTTATACTTATAATTCATTTAGTGTGCCAAAGTAAGACTTCTAATTCATTCAGCGTGTCCATAATGTTTTTTTAGTATTTTATTTAATTTTTGTTGTTGACTTCCGCATGTCAATGAAAATTGTTATTAATGTTATGGTGTCAAGTCGGTCACGCGTGATGTAGTTAAACAACCCTTGTTATAGATTATCTGTCTATGTGTGTGACATAATGAAATAGTTACATGAGTCTGATGTCAAAAAATAGGGCGTGTGGCGTCTCGATATGAGGCCTGGCATGTGAAGCAATGAAATGTGGCCATGCATGTTATGTCATGAAATATGGACATGTATGTGACGTCGACATATGGGCCCAATTTGTGCAACAATTATATGGGGGCCATGTGTGTTTCATCATAAAATGAGGCCATGCAAGTGAAATCATGAAATGGGACCGTTTGTGTGAGGTCATGAAATGGGACCGTTTGTGTGATGTCATGAAATGGGACCATGTGTGGTTGATGTCATGGAATGGGACCGTTTGTGTGAGGTCATGAAATGGGACCATTTGTGTGATGTCATGAAATGGGACCGTTATTGGTAATTGGGACATGAAAAGTTAAATTAAAATAGTCTGTCATCTTTTCTTAAAAAACATGTAAAAATGTTATGTTTAAATGGGAGGTAAAAATGTGAGGTTTTAATTTAAGGTTAAAATGTGAGGTTTAAATGTGCAGAATTCATTCAATTGTGTTTCAACCAATCAGCAAAACTATTTTTTTGTTAGAGAGATTAAAACTAATTTATTTTAAATGGATGGTTATGTTGAATAACATTTACTGAGTGGCATGGGGGGGGGGGTAGGAATCGTGATTTGCAAATTTAATCAAAATAAGAATCATTATGTAAAACCGAGAATGTATAAGAATTTTAAAAATATTGTTAAAAAAAGAATGAACAATTATAAAATTTCATGATAGCTTTATTACTTTACCATTAAGGATATCATGACAGAGCATTGAACCTTTAAAAACTATTCAAAAATTGTACACCACTAAGTAAGGTGTAGTTTTTTTGGATTAAAAAGTTTTAAAACAAACTTTTACTTATAATACCGGTACAATCAAAAACACTCATAATCATTTGAGGACAATTACTAGCACTCATAATCAGACCACAATTAATAACTCTCATAATCATTTGAGCACAATCACTGGTTATGATGGTGGGGCACAGGGCCAGAACTCTGAATCACTATCAGTGTGTAGTAAGAGGGCTGCATACTCTTTCCACTTCTGCCATTATTAACTCACATCTAGATCCAGATCCACATCAGCAATCTTGCATTGAATCTTCACAAACATTCACATCAGCAATCTTGCAATGAATCTTCACAAACATTCACATCAGCAATCTTGCATTGAATTTCACAAACATTCACATCAGCAATCTTGCATTGAATCTTCACAAACATTCACATCAGCAATCTTACATTCAATCTTCACAAACATCCACATCAGCATTCTTGCATTGAATCTTCACAAACATTCACATCAGCAATCTTACATTGAATCTTCAAAAACATTCACATCAGCAATCTTACATTGAATCTTCACAAACATTCACATCAGCAATCTTACATTGAATCTTCACAAACATTCACATCAGCAATCTTACATTGAATCTTCACAAACATTCACATAAGCAATCTTACATTGAATCTTCACAAACATTCACATCAGCAATCTTACATTGAATCTTCACAAACATTCACATCAGCAATCTTACATTGAATCTTCACAAACATTCACATCAGCAATCTTACATTGAATCTTCACAAACATTCACATCAGCAATCTTACATTGAATCTTCACAAACATTCACATCAGCAATCTTACATTGAATCTTCACAAACATTCACATCAGCAATCTTACATTGAATCTTCACAAACATTCACATCAGCAATCTTACATTGAATCTTCACAAACATAGTGTAGTCGTTAGAAGCATTGAATCTTCACAAACATTCACATCAGCAATCTTGCATTGAATCTTCACAAACAATCACATCAGCAATCTTGCATTGAATCTTCACAAACATTCACATCAGCAATCTTGCATTGAATCTTCACAAACAATCACATCAGCAATCTTGCATTGAATCTTCACAAACATTCACATCAGCAATCTTGCATTGAATCTTCACAAACAATCACATCAGCAATCTTGCATTGAATCTTCACAAACATTCACATCAGCAATCTTGCATTGAATCTTCACAAACATTCACATCAGCAATCTTGCATTGAATCTTCACAAACAATCACATCAGCAATCTTGCATTGAATCTTCACAAACATTTACATCAACAATCTTTCAGTTAATCTTCATAATTTGTTGAGTCAGTAATTCACCATCACATTACTATTCACTAAAATGTTCTTGCATTATCTATTGCACAGCTTATTAAACTTCTATGGCAGAAATGGGCCCACATGGCACAGTCCAGCACATTGACTTTTTAAATTTTTCTATCTCTTTTCACCTTCTGTAGACCAGTGACCAATGGTTCACAGATCATTGACCAATGGTTCACAGACCAGTGAAAGACAGCTGGTTGCCCAAGAACTTGGGAGTATCCCTTGCCCTACCGTCTCAGCTTTTCCAACAATGTGATATATTTCTTCATCTCAGTGTGTTCTTCAAGACAATCTGGAGTAATGGGCTCTTTGTTGCCGCAGCCAACAGCAGGGCACCTGTGAGGCAATGGTCAGATAAGAAGAGAGAATTAAGACGGTGAATGCACCCCACAGATTTAGTGAATGCATCCCACAGATTTATTGAATGCACCCCACAGATTTATTGAAAGCAACCAACAGATTTAGTGATTTCATCCCATATAATTAGTGAATTCATCCCACAGATTTAGTGAATTCATCCCACAAATTTAGTGAATTCATCCCACAGATTTAGTTAATTCATCAGACAAATTTAGTGAATTCATCCCACAGGTTTAGTGAATTCATCCCAAAGATTTAGTGAATGCACCTCACAGATTAAGTGAAGACACCTCTGGATGAATGTACTCTAAACAAAACCAAACTAAGACTGGAAAACTGTAACACGTACTTAGCCTTTCCTTTCCTGTTTTGGATGTATCCCAGAATGCCTTCTTTATCGTACACATGATTGCAGATCTTGTTCTTCACAGGGGTGACCATTGTCTGACCAGTGTATGGACATTTAATGTTGATTTCCTCATCTGTCATAGCCATGTCATCATCATCATTGGAAGAATATGTCAGGGCAACTTTAAGTGCTGCCAGTTGTTCCTCTGTAAATAGAAATAAAAAACATGTGGTTTTCTCATCCATCCATGTCAAAAGGCATGCTTCTCAGAACCAGGATATTGAATGCTTTTATTCCATCACCACAATTTCCAAATTTCACAGATTTTTGTTTCGTGACCAAAGAAAATCAAACTCAACAAATGTGTCAGCTAAAAGACTTTATCAGTGAACATAGGACACAACCACAAAACCTCCAGTAATCTGTCAACTAAACCTCCCAAGTAAAAACATACAGAAAAATAATAATAATGAATAATAATTATAAGAATAATGATAAGATGGTTATGTTATAAGAAAAATAATATGATAATTTTAAGAAGAATGTTGTGATAAGTTTATGAAGAGTGATAATATTATTATTATTTTTTTTTTTTAAAGTTTCAGAATTATTTACCATAAAAGATGTAGTTAAAATGTGGAAACCTGACCAGAAGTATGTACTTACTTAATTAAATACAGAACGAAGTTTTTAGAAATAAATTTTTCATGTAAGAAATTTTAATTCATTTTAAATAATTCTTTTGGTCATATTGTTAACATGCCTGGCATTCGGCCTGCATGTCAAGCCTACAAGAAAAGCATGCACTCTAGTTTCAGGGCCAGAGGTAGAGGAAGCTAGTGGTGGATAGACTATGCTAAGCACACTCTTAAACTTCAAAACATGTTTCTTCAGCCGGATTCAAACCTTGCGGAAGATTGCATTTGATAAATTTTCTGCAACGACCCGCAGGGGTTCAATTAATTGTTAAATTATTTTTATTGCCGCTTACGCCGATGAAGTTTTTTTTCTTCCTGTTGTGGCTTAATTCATGCGACAGCACACTTTCGACTTTTATTTACATATATCACAAGCTTGGCTGTATTATATGAAGTCTACCCACAAACAAACAAAAAATGTTTAACTTCCTACCTAAGCTCCCAGTGACATTCAAGCTTTCTTCCAGCTCCTTGAATTTAGGGTGAGACTTGTAGTCTTGTCTATTGCTTCTTTTCAGTTCTGCTAATTTTCTATCAAATTCTTCTGTCAAGTTCAAGCCATTTTCTGCATTGTTATCCTGTGATAAAAAATAAATACATTTGATAAATCAAATTATTGTATAGCTGTAAAGGTATCCAAACAGTGGATGTTTTGGATTTTATTTACGGTCGAACCTGTAATAAAGCGTGAAAAAGTGTATTCGATGAAACTGTAAGTGTAAGTTATTTTTCATTATTTAGAATATTTTAAAAATAAATTTAATCTATTTATTCACTTTTACGCTTATCTCACTACAGTGTGTAACTGTAGCATACAAATACATGGTTTTAGGGTTCACGTTAAGTAGCTAAATATTTTAGGTTTGATTATATACTTGAGTTTGCGTTAGGGAGACTGATTCTAGGTTTCAAGATTAACGTTTGAGTTAGGGAGACTGATTTAGGTTGCAAGATTTTGTTTGAGTTAGGGAGACTATTTTAGGTTTGAAGATTTACATTCAAGTTACGGCTAGGGAGACTGATTTTAGGTTTTAAATTCAAGTTCGTGTTAGGGAGATTTTAGCGCAATGGACAGTTTGCCTTCAGGTTAGGAAGAGTGATAGATTTTAGGTTTGAAGGAATTTGGCCAAAAAAAATTATTTAATTAAATTTGAATGTTGCTAGTTTTTAACCTTTAAAAAAAAAATTTGGGTTGATTTTTCACTTTTTTCTATTTATTTTAAAATGTCATTTAATATTATAATTTTTCATTTACTACTTATTGACATATCTGCAGCCATGGAAAAAAAGATAGCGGCTGTGCAAAAGAAAGGAAAGAAAAGCAGAGCCTAAGACTGAGAATAAGAGAGGACCTTGATAGTGCAAATTTACCGCAAAAAACCCTAACTCCATAAACATATACTTTTGCAAACAATTTCTGAAATGAAGAGCTCACCAGTGCCTTGATGTGATTTAGACCCAATACATGTTGTTTTATATCATGTTCCATGCTGATAAACTCCCGCATTATGTTTTGAGTTGCATTTCTCAAGTTTTCATCTCCTGCAAATTCAAAAATTTAGATTACATTTTTTTCTCAACTTAATTTTGTATTAAATATATTAGCATCACCTGACTTGAGCCGTCAAATGTTGACTAACATCTTATGAACTAGTTCCAAAAAACTCTTTAACATACCTGCTGGGAACTTTTAAGCTTGGACCCAAAATAAAATTATTTAAAAAACTAATAATTTAATTAATAATACAAGTGACTTTATTTCCTGCTTGATGAGGACAGGGCTCATCACAACCCACTCACAGAATTCAACACATGCTACTCCAGCGGTAGCAAGTCAATGTCAACACTGTCACTCACCACTGCAGTGGTCGGCTATATTCTGTCCAACATCCGTTGTGTTATCCATAGCAACATTAAGATACTCTATCAGCTTCTGGTCCAATATCTGAAGATCTGAATCAACTTCACTCAGAAATCCTCTGTTCGTCATTTTCGCTTATGGCTGCTGAGATGCAATAATTACATCAGCAGCTATTATCCTGCTCATCAGGCCTACAACTGATTAGTTTTTAAAAAATTGGGTTACGGGATGCTGGAGAGAAAAAGATGATTGGCTGTTAAGTAGGAAAAGAGAAGCACTTTTATTCAATACATGATGAGATCTACTGACATAAATTACTATCAGTTTTACAATAATTTTGAATAATGGAAATGCCATTCAAATGCTGTTAATGAGTTAATGTTAACAACTAGCATTTGGCTTGCAGCAAATACAATTTTCTGGGTCTTCTACTTCTACACCTCAAGGGGTGCTTCCACCTTTGGTTAAGAGCCACTGTTCTAGGGAAATGTTTCTGACACAGGTGCAGTTATTTAATATCCATATACCTTTTTGTGATGGCAGGGGGAGGGGGAGAGCAAAATTTGCATGAATACATTTGTCATAGTCTAATACATTTATTGATAGCCCCTTTATAGCCAAAGCGACAACCTTTTGCAAAAGTCCTTATTGACTAGTATAGTCCTAGAATAGGCCAACTTATAACAACTAAAGTAAAGCCAACAGACATACACTGCCTTCTACTACTGACTACTTACTACTTACTAATACTCAACTGTTTACTATCTGTGTTTACTAACTCCGAATTAATAATTGGTAAATATTAGAAGAGTGGAAACTTTAATTTTTAAAACGTCAGTCTTCATTAAGAGAGAGTATGACACTGGTAGACTATAGGCATTATAGCTTATACATAGTTTATGATTATAGGCCTATTAATTATATAATTAATATAGTTAGAAATAAACAGCCTACTTGTGAACTAAACACGGCGCGTTAGTGGAAAAAATGAGAACTCTTCTCTCTTAAAGATACGTTATAAAAATTGCCCAATTGGATGTATCTAGATTTAAATAAATGTTTTATTTATTTTAATAACTTTATTTAATTATGCCTAGGTGTCCCAAATTTCTTTCTAAGCCAGTGGTGGGATTATGCCATTATGCGCCCCCCGCTCGTCATTTTGTCAGTTATCCGGCCCACTGTGAAAAAAGTTTGGTGACCCCTCTTCTAGGGGAACACTTTACTTTTTACACCGGCTAGCGAAGATGTGAAGGGTGCACTAACTTGGGGCGGTGGTCAGTGTATATTTTGTTTTAAAAAGTATAAAAATAATATCTGATTTCTTTTAAAAATGTGTGCGTGTGATGATTGTTGGGGTCGGGTAAAACTCGGACAAAAGAGTGATGGTTTGTTAATTTGTTGTCAGTCACAGTTTGTGTTCAGTGTAGACTATCCAGGGCTGTTTAACCTTTTAAAAAATTAACACATAAGATCAATTTAACTATATGACAAATATTCTTAAGCACATTTAAGCTTAAAATCACGCATTTACATTACGATGGTAAAGTTATCACATTGAATTTTTATTTTACCCCAGCATACATTTGTAGTATAAATAGACTATTAATGTTAAAGTAACTTCCGGCAGGATCCGGTTTTATGCACGCATTGCCCATGACCAGTGGTCAATGGTGAGATTTCAGATTGCAGCCATTACCGTAACCATAATCAGATTGGAATGGGGAGTATCCCCATTTAACATGAGCTGATTAATTTTGCTCAAGTCTCTAACTACATTCATGACTGAAGTATAAAATTAACTAAAGGGTAAATAAATCATTTTCCTGGATATTTTAAATCGAAAATGAAAAGATTTTATTCAGTGACCAGTGTCCTCTGTGTAACTTTAGAAATGTTAATTAATAATTATTGCAATGAAGTTAAATGAATTTTCAAAAATTAAGTTATTTTTAAATGTTAATCTACCACTTCAGCGTCAGTTTATAAAAAAAAACTTTGTCTAGTTTGAAGTGCTATTTGAACAGTGGTAATGTTGCAGTTCAGGTGCATAGCCGTAGGCTATAGTATAGAGGATAGTATATTATTTGGTAAATGTTGAGAATAATGGCAGCTATCTTGGTTGACACAACCAGTTAAGTGTCAGGCAGGGGTGTCTGCTCTCACCTTTCTTATTCCTGCTGACCATTGATTGGATAATGAAAATTTATACAGAGCAGAAGAGAAATGGTATCCAGTGGATGCTATGGAAACAGCTTGATTGATGATCTGGATTTTGCGGATGATCTGGCCCTAATATTACACACACAGCAACAGATGCAAAAGAAAACCAATTATGTAGCACAGTAGTACTCTGCTTGCATCGGTCTGAACATCCATAGAGGAAAAAGCAAAAGTCCTTAAAATAAATACATCAAGCAACACACCTATAGCAAGAAGGAACAAACCTTGAGGAGGTGGATAGCTTTACATACCTTGGCAGCATCATTGACATACAAGGAGGGACAGACGCCGACATAAGAGTGAGAATCGGCAAGGCAAGAGCTACATTTAACCAGCTGAAATAAGTCTGGAGCTGCAGCATCTTGACCCTCCAGACCAAGGTCAAGGTATTCAACACCACAGTGAAACCTGTCTTGCCATATGGAGCAGAAACAACAGCAGCTGGTTCAAAAAAGCTACAGACGTTTATCAACTCATGTCTTCGAAAGATTCTATGAATCCGCTGGCCTAACATCACCACCGAGCATCTCTAGCGGCGCACACAACAAGAACCAGTAGAGAGTTAGTCTGCTAGCGCAGATGGAGATGGATTGGTCACACCCCCAGAAAGCCCGCATCAAGTATCACAAGACAAGCCCTCACTTGGAACCCCCAGGGCAAGAGAAAAAGAGGTAGACCCAAAATGACTCGGAGAAGGGAACTAGAGGCAGACACCAAAAAGAGTGGGGACAGCTGGAGAGACTTGCCCAAGACCGGGATGCCTGGAGAGCCTTTGTTTGTGGCCTATGCCCCAGACAGGACGACAGGCGATGATGATGATGATATCAATTCCCAATATAAAATTAGTTCAGAATTTTGACCATATATTGATTTTTTTATGTAGAAAAAATATCCTTTTTGATAAATCCTTAATGAAAAGTTTGACCAAGCCCTGTTGTGTTAAATAAGAGAAAGTAAAAATCAGATGTATTGATGCAAGGTCTTTAAAATCAAAATAATTTCATTTTTGCCTCTATTTGATTTATAATGAAAAAGGTTTACAAAATTTAAATGAAAAAACTGCTTTGAACTCCAATAATTTTAATAAATTAATCTAAAAAAGTACAAATACAATCACAGTGACTGCCCTTGGAATAGTCTTTTCAAAAAATATTTCTGGACTGCACAGGAATAAAAACGCTTGCTTTATGATTTTAATGAAATAGTAGAACAAGGCATGTGTAAGCTTAAATCAAAAGACAGGACAATAAGATGTGAACGTTTTGCCGTAGGGCCTTCTTCGGCAAACAAGACAAATGATGGATACATCTAATGCACCTCACTTTATGTTCATCTCTGTTGAAATGTGAAGAGACTGGGGAAAGTTTACCTTGTTCAATATCCCGAAGATGTTCAGTGAACCCATCTGCTAATCATCTCACAGTTTCGCCTATCTAACAAGAATGGCATCTATGTCACACAATCGCATACCGGGTATATCACATTATGACTAATGCATGTGTAACCTTATTTGATGGTAAAGGTACATGTAGGGAGGCTAATGTTTTGGTTTGGATAGTATAGCGATAAGTCCTGCAATCTACAATGGCTTCTTGAGCATGGTTTAGTACAAATATAAGACAGGCCAGCTTGAAGGTAACCAGAATGTCACCTAGATTTTTGTCATGTCTAAAGACAATAAGTGGAGAGGATGAGAATACCCTGTTTAGTGTTTGGGTCAGCAAGAAGTATGTTACGATTATTTATTTATGAATATTTTGTTGGCAATCAAATTTGTTTGGACGAGGTTTAAAAGCATTTTTCCGTGTGGTAGTGCTGGTAGGAATGAGTGCTGAGACAAAAGTAGTTTCCGGATAAATGTGATTTTTAACCTTATTTCACCACTTTTTCATTAAAAATTAATGGTCAGATCAATAATATTATACAACAATATAGATGTATATTATATTAGTAATTAGTAGGGGTGTGCCGGAATCCGGTTCCGCCGGATTTACATGTATCCAGAACAACCGGAATCCGGAATATACCGGATTTCGGAATTAGCCAGATTTTGTGACTCACCGGATCATAATCTGAAATAAAAGTAATTCTCTTTCCCGAATTCCACACGATCACGATACATTAATCGATTGTTTCGAGCGTTGAGCTTGTTTAATGTTTAATATTCCGTACATACCAGAGGCTAGAGTCAGCACCGCTAATAGTGGCCAATAGTGTAGGGACTTTGATAAGAAAATTTAAACTTTTTGTAAAAATAAACCAATGGCATAGTTGAAAAGATGTAATTTTTTAAAGAATTATAACACCAAAATCATATTTTTAGCTGTTGTAGTTTTAAAGTTATGAATTTTTAAAGTACGACTTGGTTTGTCATTTTTTAACATGGACTGCATCTCCACATTCTGTGATCTCATTCCGCCAATCCCGTCATGCGCAATGACTATATAGTTTATATAAGGCAACGCATTCCCTGCCTTATCACTAAAATACTGTTTAGACTTAGTTTAAACTTTCAACTTTGGCACATGAATAATTAATTAAAGCTTTCCCTGACCAATGGTTTAATAGTTTTTGCACACGGCAAACTCTTATGAATGAAACTCTGAGGTAGTACTACGATACAGTTATGCAAGTGGCTGTGAATGGTTGCCAATGACAACGTGTTGCACACGGTAAATTCTGATCATTTATAATATGGATTCTACCGGGTTGTTAAAGCTCAAATTAAAACTCTCCAGTTTAAATGTCTTTAAAATGCATTCTGAAACACAAGTTATCAATTATTTTGATGTAAATAGTGATAACAAATTAATATTTCCTAAGTATCGTCAACTTCCGCCATTAAAAAGGGGGGCGTGGCCAACCCCATGGCGAAATTAGGTTGAGCGAGCTGCATGACCTGCTGCGAACGCGTAGAAACATGGCGTCTCTCGTAAGACACTTATCCAAATGGAACGGAACTCAAATATATATCGAAAGTACTAATTTAATAATAAATAGACACACACATCGGAAAATTAAAAACTCAGATTTTTTGGCGCCGATTGCGAATTCCCATACACAAAAAGTAGTAGTCTACCTTGACTTACCAAAGTATCTACCAATAGTACCAAAATCCGGAATCCGGGAGAAACCGGAATCCGGATTATTCCGGGATCGGGATCCGGCGGATTTCGCATAAGAAAATCCGGATCCGGTTGGAAAAAACGGATCCGGCACACCCCTAGTAATTAGTGTTCACAATACAATAAATCTAAGGAAAGCTTTAGGTGACCTGCTCTCCTACCAGAATTGTTGCTGGTACATGAATTTCAAATATCCTCCTCCAGAGCTTCCCAAGCTTACCTTTAATGCACCCAGGTCTTCCCGATCTGCCCTATGCCACATTCTGGGTGTACTGTAAAATACTTTAAAATAGCTTATTTTAAAAAATGTAATCTCTTACTATTTAATAGAATAAATAGACCGAGCTATTCAACTTACCCTTTGAAAACCAAGAATCTTTAATCTCAATACCATTGCAAACCATGGCTGGTGCAAAATCAATGATTACACCAGGTGTGTGATTAATTTGTTAAAAACTTATTATGAAGGTAACTTTCACACTTTCAGGTCAAAATTGTTCATAGGATATTGACTTCTCATATAATATAATAAATGCCAGCTTGCGCCCTAAT